ACTATGACTAAATTCAAAACCTGCAGTTAAATCATAAAAACACTAATAATCATTTTCCACTCATAAGTTAAGCAAATAATAACCCATACAAAAGAGAGAGAGCAGAGAACAAAACAAACACAAACTCACACACAAACATCAAACGTTTGTACCTTGTTTGGTAAAAACCGTGAAAAAAGTTTCATCATTTATGGATAATATTGATTACGCCCCATCGTTGTCTGGAATAGCTTTCATTTCCAGGAAAAATCCAGTGCCCCTTTGTTGTTCGCTTGTTTTACCTTTTTTCTGAAGTTTCTGTTGTTAATCTGTGGCTTATCGAAGATTGATCTGCGAATGGTCGGAGGAGGAGAAGAAGATTCGAGGGTTCGCATTTCGTGGTGCTATGAGTCTGGGTGTTTGTGCTATCGTAACATTTTGACTTAGTGATATAATCAGTGTTCTTTTGGAATATATGGTGCCTGGTGAGATTGTTAGGGAGTGAGGTTTTACAAGGATTGTGCTTATCTTGGGTATCAGCATTGTGATCGAGGATTGAGGTACAGTAGAGAAGGCGTATTTTTTAGGCAACATATTTCGTGGTTGATGGAATCAAGAATGGACCAGTATGAGATCATGGAGCAAATTGGCCGTGGAGCTTTTGGGGCGGCTATTCTGGTTATTCACAAGTTGGAAAGGAAAAAGTAAGTATTCTTTTTTCGATGTAAAAGTTGATTCCAAGGATTTTGAATTATGTGGGATGATGGTTTTCAACTTTAAGGGAAAATGTATTAATATGATTTTTTCTTTTCCTGATTCTTCAAAATATGATTAGGTATGTTCTTAAGAAGATTCGATTAGCTCGCCAAACTGAACGTTGCCGGAGAGCAGCTCATCAAGAGGTATGGTGATTATCTTTTAACTTCTTCTTCAGTATTAATGTGTCTTTATATCTAGTTGATAAATTGCATTACTATGTTGCGGTTCTTGATTATTCTTCTTTCAAGAATGTGCATTTAGTTACGAAATTCACCGCAATTTTGTGAAAATTTACTTCGTCAAAACAGGCATTGGTGATTCCCTTAGTTCTATAATCTATTTCGACCGTTTGGAGTCTCAAACTAGCAAGTTGTGATCAGTTGCTCCTTTCTCATCCTCTATCGAAGTTTCTGCATGCTTTACCAAGTGCTTGGTTTGTACATGAAAGAGGCTTTTGTTGTCTATTTCAAATATGCAGATGGCTTTAATTGCACGTATACAGCATCCCTACATTGTAGAGTTCAAGGAAGCTTGGGTAGAGAAGGTAATTAAGGAAAATTAGTCTTTTT